GTGACACCATCTTGTGTGACACCACTTTGCGTGACACCACGTTGCGTGACACCACGTTGCGTGACACCACCTTGCGTGACACCACTTTGCGTGACACCACTTTGCGTGACACCACCTTGCGTGACACCACCTTGTGTGACACCACCTTGTGTGACACCATCTTGTGTGACACCATCTTGTGTGACACCACCTTGCGTGACACCACCTTGCGTGACACCACCTTGCGTGACACCACCTTGCGTGACACCACCTTGCGTGACACCATCTCGTGTGACACCATCTCGTGTGACACCATCTCGTGTGACACCACCTTGCGTGACACCATCTTGTGTGACACCATCTCGTGTGACACCATCTTGTGTGACACCATCTTGTTGGTCATGTGAGAGGACAAGGATAGAGGAGGAGGAGGAGGAGGAGGTGATAACACGGAAGATAAATCTTGAGGACTGTTACACCCCTATATTAGGCCTAGCAATCTTTGTTTCATATTTAACTTTATTTTTTCTGGACTATAAAATTAAAAGGTACGGAAGTGAAGTTTTTGGTGATCCATCACTGACCATTGGTACTTTGGAGTAAATAGTTGTGGTAAGTAGTATCATATAGGGAGGATGGTGGTTATTATATCGGGGTTGTGAGTTGTGGTAGCGTTTAGAAGTGTCATTAAGGCAACTATTTCTTTACTTAACAAATACTGGATGGAGTATTTAATAACACAAATACTGGATGGAATATTTAATAACATAAATACTGGATGGAATATTTAATAACATAAATACTGGATGGAATATTTAATAACATAAATACTGGATGGAATATTTAATAACATAAATACTGGATGGAATATTTAATAACATAAATACTGGATGGAATATTTAATAACATAAATACTGGATGGAATATTTAATAACATAAATACTGGATGGAATATTTAATAACATAAATACTGGATGGAATATTTAATAACATAAATACTGTCAACAAGTGTAATACACTGAAAGATGTGGACGCCACCTCAATCCACAACTTTAAGACCAGATTCGACAAAGAATTCAATTGTCAGCATAGTTAAATTATAACGGAACAGGTACGAGGCTAGTAGGCAGGACATGAAGGGGCTAGGATGGATTGGAGGCTACTGATGGCCCTGTATGACTAACCATCCTGCGAGATGGGGACACGGTACCACTGCTACCTTATTCACTCTTGTGTTGATGATATCCTCATAATGCACCCGGAGTCTGCCAGTGCAGACTACTGATCACGTGTCTCTGTATGACTAACCATCCTGTGTGATGGGGATTCTTTAGCATCATGAAGTTAGCTTTTTGACACTGTACTCCCTTGTATATAGTCTAGGGCAGCTGCACGAATGATGTAACTAATGTATTAATAAAAAAAATAGACAGGATAACGCACCCAAATTATCGGGACCGTCTCAAAGCTCGCAAAATGTCCTCCCCCCCCCCCTCCTGTCCTTCTCTCCTCTCCCCCCCCTCCTGTCCTTCTCTCCTCTCCCCCCCCCCCCCCTCCTGTCCTCTTCTCTCCTCTCCCCCCTCCTGTCCTCTCTCCTCTCCCCCCTCCTGTCCTTCTCTCTCTCTCCTCTCCCCCCTCCTGTCCTCTTCTCTCTCCTCTCCCCCCTCCTGTCCTCTCTCCTCTCCCCCCTCCTGTCCTTCTCTCTCTATCCTCTCCCCCTCCTGTCCTTCTCTCTCCTCTCCCCCCTCCTGTCCTTCTCTCTCCTCTCCCCCCTCCTGTCCTTCTCTCTCCTCTCCCCCCTCCTGTCTTCTCTCTCCTCTCCCCCCTCCTGTCCTTCTCTCTCTCTCCTCTCCCCCCTCCTGTCCTTCTCTCTCCTCTCCCCCCTCCTGTCCTTCTCTCTCCTTCTCTCTCCTCTCCCCCCCTCCTGTCCTTCTCTCTCCTCTCCCCCCTCCTGTCCTTCTCTCTCTCTCTCCCCCCTCCTGTCCTTCTCTCTCCTCTCCCCCCTCCTGTCCTTCTCTCTCTCTCCTCTCCCCCCTCCTGTCCTTCTCTCCTCTCCCCCCCTCCTGTCCTTCTCTCTCCTCTCCCCCCTCCTGTCCTTCTCTCTCTCTCCTCTCCCCCCTCCTGTCCTTCTCTCTCTCTCTCCCCCCTCCTGTCCTTCTCTCTCCTCTCCCCCCTCCTGTCCTTCTCTCTCCTCCCCCCCTCCTGTCCTTCTCTCTCTCTCTCCCCCCCTCCTGTCCTTCTCTCTCCTCTCCCCCCTCCTGTCCTCTCTCTCTCTCCTCTCCCCCCTCCTGTCCTTCTCTCTCCTCTCCCCCCCTCCTGTCCTTCTCTCTCCTCTCCCCCCTCCTGTCCTTCTCTCTCTCTCTCCTCTCCCCCCTCCTGTCCTTCTCTCTCCTCTCCCCCCTCCTGTCCTTCTCTCTCCTCTCCCCCCTCCTGTCCTCTCTCTCCTCTCCCCCCCTCCTGTCCTTCTCTCTCTCTCTCTCCTCTCCCCCCTCCTGTCCTTCTCTCTCCTCTCCCCCCCTCTCCTCTCCCCCCCCCCTCCTGTCCTTCTCTCTCCTTCTCTCTCCTCTCCCCCCTCCTGTCCTTCTCTCTCCTCTCCCCCCTCCTGTCCTTCTCTCTCCTCTCCCCCCTCCTGTCCTCTCTCCTCTCCCTCCCCCCTCCTGTCCTCTCTCCCTCCTCTCCTTCTCCCCTCCCCCCCCTCCTGTCCTTCTCTCTCCTCTCCCCCCTCCTGTCCTTCTCCTCTCCCCCCCTCTCCTCTCCTCTCCCCCCCTCCTGTCCTTCTCTCTCTCTCCTCTCCCCCCCTCCTGTCCTTCTCTCTCTCTCCTCTCCCCCCTCCTGTCCTCTCTCTCTCCTCCTCTCCCCCCTCCTGTCCTCTCTCTCTCTCTCCTCTCCCCCCTCCTGTCCTTCTCTCTCTCTCCTCTCCCCCCTCCTGTCCTTCTCTCTCTCTCCTCTCCCCCCTCCTGTCCTCTCTCTCTCTCCTCTCCCCCCTCCTGTCCTTCTCTCTCTCTCCTCTCCCCCCTCCTCCTCCTCTCTCTCTCTCCTCTCCCCCCTCCTGTCCTTCTCTCTCTCTCCTCTCCCCCCTCCTGTCCTTCTCTCTCTCTCCTCTCCCCCCTCCCCCTCTCCTCTCCTCTCCCCCCTCTCTCTCTCTCTCTCCCCCCTCCTGTCCTTCTCTCTCTCTCCTCTCCCCCCTCCTGTCCTTCTCTCTCTCTCCTCTCCCCCCTCCTGTCCTCCTCTCTCTCTCTCCTCTCCCCCCTCCTGTCCTTCTCTCTCTCTCCTCTCCCCCCTCCTGTCCTTCTCTCTCTCTCTCTCCCCCCTCCTGTCCTTCTCTCTCCTCTCCCCCTCCTGTCCTTCTCTCCTCTCCCCCCCTCCTGTCCTTCTCTCCTCTCCCCCCCTCCTGTCCTTCTCTCCTCTCCCCCCCTCCTGTCCTTCTCTCTCTCTCCTCTCCCCCTCCTGTCCTTCTCTCCTCTCCCCATTCACCCGCTCCTCCACTTACCTTGGCTCCCCTGTCTTGTCTCCTCATCTTCCTCTCGTCCACCCCGTTCTCCTCACTACAAAAATTGTTGGCCTGAGGCTTCATCACCAAATGTTAGTCTTAGTATGTGACAGCTTCCATCCGGCTGTATTGCCTCATTCCACCTTGATTGGAAGAATTTTAAATGCAGTTGACCAACACTGTGCATGGTTGTGTGTACTCTCCTAGCTGGGATTGTCTGGGTGGGATTCAGCTTTCAGACCCTGCCTCTCTATTTTGTCTACTGGGGAATATGTTGTCGTGGTTTGTTGTTTTGTAATGTATCAATATTTTAAGCTGTCAACTAGTTTTTGCCAAAAGATGTATGTGGTTGACCAAGTTGAGATTGGCGGACGCTGGTCTAGTCCTATGGTAATGATTTCCCTGTGAATCATAGCATTGAATGAAGTGCTATGATTCTCATGTGGCACTTTCATATGTGCCCCATGAGAGGCTAGCAAGGACATTACAGGCACATGGAATAAATGGTAGAATATTAGAATGGGTAAAACAATGGTCCCCTAGCACTGGTTAAAACAAAGAAAACAAAGGGTTGTGCTAAACGGGAGTGACTCTGGAGATACTGTATGTGGCGAGTGGGGTGCCACAAGGGTCCATTTTGGGGCCAACCCTTTTTATCATATACATTAGTGATATAGATGAGAATATTACAAACCACATCATCAGATTTGCAGATGATACTTAAGATTTATGATAAAGTGGGAAGTGAAAATGATATTGAGGCCTTACAAAGAGATCTACATGAACTCTACAAATGGTCAGAAGACTGGCAAATACCTTTTAATATCGACAAATGCAATACCTTACATTTGGGGCTTAACCCACGCCACATGTACCAAATTAACAACATTTCCTAGCAGCAGATTGATGAAGAAAATGACCTTGGAGTCAGAATCTATAATTGAGCAAAAGGTGCATAAGTGGGAGCAGCAGTAAAAAAAAAAAAGTCGATAAACCCCTAGGAATATTCAAGTGTACCTTTGACTTAAAGGAAAAGTTTTTTTTTTTTTTTTTTTTTAAATACAGAAGAGTTCTTACATTCTTGTACAGCCACTAACAGGCATAGAGTTTTGGGCAAGTCCTTAATCCTAATTTTCACACACACACATCCCCAGGAAACAACCCGCAGCAGCAGTTTACCTCCCAGGTACCTATTTATTGCTAGGTGAACAGGGCATCAGGATGAAAGAAACTCTGCCCATTTGTTTCCACCTCCGCCAGGGATCGAACCCGGACCCTTAGGACTACGAAACCCTAGCACTGTTCATTAAGCCATCAGGCCCCCAAAGGTAGGCCAAGTAGGTAGTTAATTCTACCAATATATTTATATATACAGTAGTTATATAGTAAAAGGTAGTTATATATGGTAATTATATATAAAAGGTAGTTATTAAACTGTAAATCTATGGTGCGCCCCTTACTTTGATTATTGTATCTCAGCATGGAGACCTCATCTTCAGAAAGACGTATACAGCTGTTTTGGAGAAAAGTTCAAAACTGGGCAACATAACCAAGTCCACTCTCATACCAGGAACGGTTGAGGGCCTCAGGGCTAACAACACTGCAAACCAGGCATGACAGGGCGAATCTCATCGAAACTTAAAATCTGAACAAATTGGAGGACGTTGACTCGTACAATTTCTTCAAAAGGTCAGGTGTAACACAAACAAGGAGTAACTGTTTCAAGCTCAACAAGCCACAATGTAGGACTGAGAACAGGAGATGCTTTTTCACTCACAGCGTTATAAACCCAAGGAACTTCCTACTTGCAAGGGCCAAAACTGTCAACTTTTAAAGTTCAGCTGGAAAAGATCATAAAAGCAAATGGGGGGGGGGCCTTTGACAAGCCGCCGGCTTCTTGTCCTCGTCGAGGCCAGTAGTGTTAGTGGCTCTCGGGTAAACTCAAGCACAAGTTAGATATGTAAATGAGCTTGGTAGGATATAAATAGGAGCTGCTTTTTATGGTCCAACAGGCCTTCTGTAGTTTCCTTAATTTAATATGCTGCTTGAATATATAAAAAAAAAGTGATTCATGAACATAACTATAAAGCAACAAGTATTGTTAGGTTAGGAGATGATGCTGGCTTAATTATTTAGTGGTCAAACCTGTTGTCTCGAAAGGAAAGTGATACAGCAAGATGGAATAGTAAAAGCATGTGTGTTACAGGCTAGAGTGTTGTTGTTGTCAGGAAACACTTATATATAAACATGGTTTGTTTATGGTACAACTAAATTTTGCCTTTATAGATTAGGTTAATGTTTTGATTTACCAGTGATTTTCTGCTAAGGGGCAGATTCATATACAGTGGTTCAGTAGATACTTGTTTTTGTTTTTTGTAAATTCTTTATGAGTGGTTAATAATTATGATGTTCACAGACTTGACCCTTGGGAACATGAAGGCGCTGATCCTGGTGGGCGGGTACGGCACCAGGCTGAGGCCTCTCACCCTCAGCAGACCCAAGCCTCTCGTTGAATTTGCCAACAAGCCTATTGTGCTACACCAGATAGAGGCACTGGTGGCAGCTGGCGTCACACAGGTGGTCCTGGCTGTCTCTTATCATGCTGAACAGATGGAGCAAGAGCTGGCACAGGAAGCTCAGAAGGTAAGAAGTAAGAGAATACCTCCACCCCCCCATCCCCGTTTATGTGCAGTATATTTCTGTATGTCTGGATCACTGATACGTTTATCCTTCAGAGGTCTCCTTACCATGGGAGTGGTCATGACAGATAGACCTCTAATCAGCCCCATATAAACATGAAATATTTTATACAACGTAAGTTATAATGAAATGTATCTAGTGTAATTCTCCACATTCTTAAGTCTTATTAGTTTTCTCATGCAGGCACCCTAAGTGTTTCTATTGACCTATTCTACCTCTTCTCTCACTTCACACAAAGGTAAAACCAGCCCATATTCTGCTATACAGTACATCAAATTATGCTTTTTATAAAGGTTTTTGGTATATTAGTCAAGTATTTGTGTACTGTAATCTGTCAGTGTCTTAAGTTAAAGATTAGTTTGTATATTGTAATACTCAAGACTTTAATGAAATTAATATTAACTTTACCTATTTTGCCTAATGTAAAAATATCTAATTTGTGGTGACAAGATAAATCAGTTTTGGACTTAAAATCTCTCCTCTTATTTGTTGTATATTTTATACTCGTAGCAATATACTGTATACATATCTACTCTTTCAGTTGGGGATTCAGATTACATTCTCCCTGGAGGAAGAGCCCCTTGGCACAGCAGGACCTATCAAGCTGGCTCAGAGCATTTTGGCCTCCAATGATGAACCTTTCTTTGTCCTGAACTCCGATGTCATATGTGACTTTCCTTTTACTCAGATGGTCAAGTTCCACAAACAACATGGCCGTGAGGGCACCATTGTGGTATGTTGTATTATTTAACGTGGGCCTTATATTGTGGAGGTCTTTGTACCCTACACCACAGCTCATGGTCTGCTGTATTGACACACGAATGCACCACTTTAAATTATCCATAATGCTGTTTTATCTTTCAGTGAATCCTGGGTAAGATGCCAGTTTAAATACTAATACAGTGTACCTGTATAATATTTCCATGGGTCAACCAGCTCCCATTGGAGAACAATAAAGGGTTTAAGCATACTTTGCCAAATGTATGTTGTATATTTTGCAACACTGAAATGTCACTGAATATAAATTCCATACTAGCGTGGGTAATGAAAAGTAAAGGCAAACTTTAAACAGCGTGAAAAGTTTACTTAGCACAGTGAAATTACTCTCATTAAGACAGCAGACAACCCCAAAAGTATAAAAATAACATAGGCATTGAATGATTAATATATCTCATTACTGCAGGGGCCCCATTTCTTTTACCATGTCGTGGCCTAGTCGACTAAGGCAGCATCTGGGATCATCCCGGGCGTAAGTTCGAACCCTCATCACGGCCCTTGTGGATTTGCCCCATTTAGATTGTGAAATTCAGCTTTGATTATTGTACTATAGAATGCACAGTAATTTACTTGTGCAGGTACAGAGAAAGATGAGAAAGTTAATCCTTGGAACTAGAAACCTTTCATATGAAAAAATTATTAAGAAAGCATAATTTACATTTTATGGAATATGGAAGGGTAAAGAGTAACATGATTGAAGTATGCACATGCATAAAAGGGTATAAGGATATTAAGGTGTTAAATATATTGCCACAAAGTAGATTATGAAACAATGGTAGATTATGATTCAGTGAAGACCTTAGTAAATGCCAGCTTTAGTTTTAAGCAAATTTTAAATATACAGTACAAGACAATGTACCCAGCTGTCCCCCCCCCTTCCTCCCTCCCCCCCACCCCTCCCCACAGGAGGGGGAAAGGGAGATTCGAACCTTAGGTAGCCTTGTGCTCCAAACATAATAGTGTAACTAGTGTGGGAAAAATTCTGGGATTATGTTGATAAGAGATTTACATAGGACTTGAAAATTAACTACTGAATATAATTAATTAAAATGCAAAAAAGAAACTTGCAAATTCTCATGTAAGGGCAAGGGTTGTATGTTTGTGTTGTAAGTGCAGATTGTGTGTGTCCTTGATACTGGTAATGGGGTGTAGCAGTAGGGTCCTCAAGGCTGAGCTGGGTCATTGACACCACAATACATACAGTACCTGCTGGTATCTTAACACATTTAGTGTGTGTGTTATTCAAGGATATGATTATTAACACAGTTCTATAACTGTAAACACTGGTATGGGTCATTATCAAAGATCTCAACTAGGTACTGTACATAGTTTAACCTGGCTCTAGAAATATTGTAACAGCCAATTGTAAATTGTTCTGATACTCTCAACAAAATAGTTGTATAATACAAGTATGATGTATGGGCAATATGCAAAGAAATTATTATATACAATAAAATAAAAATAATTTGATAAATTAAGATTAATGGATATGGCAATTAAATGTATGATGAGTTATACTAAAGAAAATATACACAAGATAAAAATTCATATTTATATGAATATTCAGCAATAAAAGAGGTTCAGTCACTGAGAAGGTAAATCAACTCACTGATTGGTGAAGCATTGCCTCCCTGCATAATAACTCAAATTATATATAGATGTTCTCACCTAGTTGTGTTTGTGGGCGTTGATCTCTGGCTCTTTGGTCCCGCCTCTCAACTGTCAATTAACTGGTGTTCAGATTCCTGAGCCTACTGGGCTTTATCATATCTACATTTGAAACTGTGTACGGAGTCTGCCTCCACCACATCTCTTCAGCCTCCACCACATCTGTGTTAATGTCACAAAGCATGCTATTGGCCAATCTACGCTCTAAAACAATTAATAACTTATCCTGAAATTGAGAACTGGAGCCTAATCTGGCAAGTTGTCAGATGATGTTTCTCCTGTTGAAACGAGGCTCTATATGTTGACGGAGATATGGCAGCCTTGATGTTGGTTATGTCCCTCGTAGCTTCTGCTGTGGGGAAGTGTTCTTGAAGCAGTTGCTAGGATGAGGTCACAATAGAGGAAACGTGGCGAGACTCCTGGTACCTGAGCTCGACCTCACTCCTCTTGATAAGTTCTTGTGGTCGAGTTACAGATCAGGGACTTCCTGAGTATCTAGGGAATTATCACTGGTGATTAGATAAGTAGTTTGTGTGGTAATGTCTATTGAAAATGTTATCAACCCCACACACGTGCACACCGTTTCGATATCAACACACTTCCCTCCGGTCCTGGGGGCTCCTGCCACAGGCAGGGTGGCTCCCTTCCTAGCAGTCAGGGTGCCTGACTGATTATGGATTGTTTATGTTCATTATCACAATAATCAGTCTTGACTAAGTTTATTTACAAGCTAAACACTTAGGGGACTTAAAGATTATTGACAGTACTTAATAGTACAATTTGTCCTTTATTATGGATTTTGAAAATGTCACTGGAAGCTATTATTTTGTTCCAACAATATTTTTTTTATTATTAGCTCCTTCTGGAAGCTTCTAGATTCTTGATATTACATGGACATGCATTGAACCCAATGGTATACTTGACCAAATGGTCGTGAAGGATACTGATGTGGATACTGATGATTCTTAAATCATCAAAAGAGATATGATTCTGATGTAAATTAAAGATATAATCTGTAAATATTTAATTCCTCAGATAATATTATTTGGTGGAATTTTCTACATCCAGTACGGGAACCACTTGACCATTGCAGACTGTTAAGCCGTTGGTCAAATAGCCGAGGCTATTTGACCAACAACCCAACAGCACTCGCAATGGGAGGAGATCACCAATCATTTTCATCAAATCAGTCACTACTGAGGAAAACATAAGCCTCAAATGTACAACACACTTGCATAAACACACAAGTTATATGTAACGAAAGAACTCTTACCCGTGGAGGATTCAAACCTGTGAAAGCCTATTGCTCCAAACACAATAGCATATCCAGTACAGTAACAACTTGACCATTGCAGACTGTCAAGTCAATGACAGCCGAGGCTATTTGACCAACGACCTAACAGCACTCACAATGGGAAGCAATCTCCGATCGTTTTTATAAAAAAATAAAAATATATACTGTACTTGCCTAGTTGTACTCACCTAGTTGTGCTTGCGGGGGTTGAGCTCTGGCTCTTTGGTCCCGCCTCTCAACCGTCAATCAACAGGTGTACAGGTTCCTGAGCCTACTGGGCTCTATCATATCTACACTTGAAACTGTGTATGGAGTCCGAATATGTGTATAAACTGTGTATATGCCCGAAACGCTTTGCGTAATAGTGGCTTTAGGCATTGTATGTACTAGCTATACCTATAAGTTAAACAATCCTTGTAAATATTTATTGTATGTATGTACCTTACCTAAATAAAATTGTATTGTATTGTATTGAGTCAGCCTCCACCACATCACTTCCTAATGCATTCCATTTGTCAACCACTCTGACACTAAAAAAGTTCTTTCTAATATCTCTGTGACTCATTTGGGCACTCAGTTTCCACCTGTGTCCCCTAGTGCGTGTGCCCCTTGTGTTAAATAGCCTGTCTTTATCAACCCTGTCGATTCCCTTGAGAATCTTGAATGTGGTGATCATGTCCCCCCTAACTCTTCTGTCTTCCAACGAAGTGAGGTTTAATTCCCGTAGTCTCTCCTCGTAGCTCATACCTCTCAGCTCGGGTACTAGTCTGGTGGCAAACCTTTGAACCTTTTCCAGTTTAGTCTTATGTTTGACTAGATATGGACTCCATGCTGGAGCCGCATACTCCATGATTGGTCTGACATATGTGGTATATAATGTTCTGAAAGATTCCTTACACAAGTTTCTAAAGCCCGTTCTTATGTTAGCCAACCTGGCATATGCCGCTGATGTTATCCTCTTGATATGAGCTTCAGGGGACAAGTCTGGCGTGATACCAACCCCCAGGTCTTTCTCTCTGACTTCTGAAGTATTTCGTCTCCCAAATGATACCTTGTATCTGGTTTGCTTCCTACCCCTATCTTCATTACATTACATTTGCTTGGGTTAAACTCTAACAACCATTTGTTCGACCATTCCTGCAGCTTGTCCAAGTCTTCTTGAAGCCTCAAGCTGTCCTCCTCCTGTCTTAATCCTTCTCATAATTTTGGCGTCGTCAGCAAACATTGAGAGGAATGAGTCTATACCCTCTGGAGATCATTTACGAATACTGTATCAGAAACAGGATAGGTCCGAGTACAGAGCCCTGTGGGACTCCACTGGTGACTTCACGCCAATCTGAGGTCTCACCCCTCACTGTAACTCTCTGCTTCCTATTACTTAGGTACTCGCTTATCCACTGGAGCGCCCTACCAGTTACTCCTGCCTGTTTCTCCAGCTTGTACATCAGCCTTTTATGGGGTACTGTGTCAAAGGCTTTCCGACAGTCCAAAAAAATGCAGTCCGCCCATCTTTCTCTTTCTTGCTTAATTTTTGTCACCTGATCATAGAGTTCTATTAAGCCTGTAAGGCAAGATTTACCCTCCCTGAACCCATGTTGATGGGTTGTCACGAAGTCTTTTCTCTCCAGATGTGTTATTAGGTTTTTTCTCACAATCTTCTCCATCACCTTCATGGTATACAAGTTAAGGACACTGGCCTGTAGTTCAGTGCCTCTTGTCTGTCACCCTTTTTGTATATTGGGACTACATTAGCCATCTTCCATATTTCTGGTAGGTCTCCCGTTTCCAGTGACCTACTATATACTATGGAGAGTGGCAAACAAAGTACTCCTGCGCACTCTTTCAATACCCATGGTGAGATAAGGTAAGATAAGGAAATTCTCTACAGGACTAAATGCATATAAAGCCCAAAAGCCCGGCGTGAAAGTGAGAAAATGAGAGCGTGTTGCACGGGAGCGCACAGGAGCAATAAAATGTGTACACTTTGGACATCT